TTGCCGGTATAGAATACTTGGCGAAGAAATGCCAGAAGTAATAATGGCTGGATTAAGAAAGACAATTCTTTTCTCTGAAAATTGCTGTTTTTACTTTTCACCCACAAGACGTGAAATACTTTCTATCCCATTTACGCGCGACACGAGTGTGAATTTTCTATAAATCTTCCAACAATTCGTTCACTATGAAATTACTATTCCGTTGCATAATATGACACCAAAATGCGCCGGTAAATGGCTAAACCGATCAATAATGCGTCGATAACAATTACCTCTATTCTGTGAGCTTTGAATGTATGTATTCTTGTATGCACAATAGATCAACGGATGGTTACGCATGTTCCAGACTGGTTTAAACATTTGCATTAATCTGCCCTAGCCTATCTATTTTGGTGCATATAATATTAATATGTGCACACAATGCATCTGTGAGATGTTGCATTTAACGGCGACTATATTCACGGATCCATTATCTCGGATTAAAATAAAAGATAATACGACATTCACCGATATACGATGCGCAACGCCGGAGTTGTAATTACATTACAACGGCATCGCGGTTTGCAAAATGCAAATATAAAATTCAAATTTAAAGCGCTCAAAATAATAAATACTCGGAGAAATATCGCGCACGTCGGCACTTTTTATTCGTCTGCACTCTGCTGTATTCGTCGAGTCAATATTCACCGAAATTCACCGCGTAATTATATGTATGCAGTTTGCGAGTTCGTTTCCTTAAGCTTTTATAAGCATGATAAATAAGCTTTTTTTTGTAATTTGCATCATAGAAATATATTATATGACTCGAGTAAACTCGATGAAATAGATATGTAATTAAACGAGAGATACCAATAATATATAAATAAATTACTCGCCTCATGGTTACTCTATTCGACCATCCAAGTCTTTTCTCCGATGTTAAAATACACGAAATATTTTTTATAAACGGCATATATGTTGCGGTAAATATGTTCCACTGTTTGAATCATTCATGGCAATTCATATGTTACCTGAAAAATGACAAATTACACCAAAAACCGACGGAAGATTCACAGGGCGATGCGAGATGTGTTCGAAATCTAACGTTTTAAAGAAGTGATTACTGTCTGTGAAAAGCCGCCACGGAATGAAATTAATTTCTAATTCCCGTTACTCGTTGCCTCGATTCTCACTTCGAATGGACGAATGTCGCATGAAATATCCGTTTTAGTAAACAGCCGTCGCCTTGATACGCTTATGAATCGTTAATTGCCGAATCAATTAATCACGCGGGCTGATACCAATTATTCACCGGTGATTACGTTTCGAGACACAGTAATATGTAACGATACACGAAATCTCTCGGTCCGAGCGTCGAATAGCGCGACTTGTGTGCGCAACGGCGCGCTGTGTGCAAGCGCAGGAAAGAAAAACGAATATTAATTGTAAGGCCGTGTGTTTGCTAATGTTGCATGCATGCCCCGAAATATTTGATGCTTCATAAAATAATTTCGCGCTCGATATAATCTATTCTTTGCATTCCAAATTAATTGCGATGAATAGACCATTGTTGCATATTAAATTCTGCATTTATGCGAAGAATAAAATTTACTTCTCGATAAAAAAAAAGAGTATTTGCGTAAATGAATTCATTATCTTGTACAGAACTTTTGTATCCTGAGAGAAAAAAATTATGTGATTTAAATGAATCGTGAGAAATCATTTTTCAGTTTAATAAAGCAAGAAAATGCAATTTCGTCGTTGCGAAAAATCTGGCGACGCAATTTTATCCTTGATTTATTAGAACCTTGCAATTTTTCGTTTTATTCATGATACGAAAATTTGAAAGAAAAAAATGATATATTATTTTTATATCCTGAAAGCAAATAAATCATTTAATTTCTATTTTCAAAGTATTAAACGAAAATAAAGTTTACTTTTTAAAGTAACATGAAATTTGATAGCAGATTCGCTAGGCTTTTAATAAAATAGCTAATTAACTACTTAAATTTTTACTAAAAAAGCTAAAATAATATACGAGTACGTATAACACAAAATAAACTTTATTGTCGGTAATAAACTTGTTAACAACAGCTGATTGTTACAATGTTATTTGTAATTCCAGTGCATAAAAAAATCAGCAAAAGATATAATGCAAAACCGTAATAACGTCCATATTTTTGTGTTATAATTTTCTAATCTAATCAGTATCCTTATACAATTTTTACATGATACTATTATATCACATAATTGTTAAACAATTTGAATATGCATTGTTCGGAACATTTTAAATTTTACTCCATACACATTGATGTGTAGAAAATTAAAATAAAAAATGGTAGCAACCTATAAGAGAGTATACAAAATCCAAATTTACTGATTAAATTCTTAAAAGGGAATGCGAAATGTTCGCTCTCACTCTTTCATAAGAAATAAACTCTGCTGAGAGAATAACATATTAAAGAAATGCAATATTGAAGGAACCGTAGGATCAAAGCTAATTTATGCCTTTTTTACGAGCGCTTGTAAGTTACGAAATAATATACACAAAATAGGATCTCTCTTTTTTTCTCTCTCTCTTCCCCTAGATTTTCTCGATTGCTAGAAATTGTCAGGGTCTTCATTTTATTTATATATCTTAGCGGAATTACAATCGACATGCTGATTTAGAATTTCTTCATTCGTGTAGTCGCGCCTTGCTTTGTCCGCCGGCAGCTAGGACAAACCTTTGCTCAATTAATTAGCAGTAATTGCAATTTAGTCGACGAACGTGGAAACAAGGACAGAGCTGGAAGTTTCCGTCGGTGTATTCGTGGCATTCGCTCGTAGTCAGATATTATTCGACTGCAAGAGAGCGTACACAGGTACACCGAGAATTACCAGTTGCTGCAATAAAATTAATCCTTTATTCGCGCGCAAAGATAAACTTACACAATCCATCATTGCGAAATGCACGTCCTTCGCGATTAAATTCGGAAAATTTGCGCGGATACTACAAACTTTTATTTACGTGACTTGCAATGAAACATTTGTGTCACGTTAAATTCAGTTCTTAGCAACGAATCGTGTTTAATGCATTTCACCCTCATCGGCGAGAAAAACGTGAAGATGTTAGAATAATGGGTAATAGAATAAACTTCGTAATCCGTTATCCAGTCGTGTTGAATTTCGTTACGTGCCACGGAAACGAAACCGTAAATCACCCTGAGACGTCCTCGATTGATGGAAGATATGCAGAAGCTATTAAGTTTCTCGTCGCAAATAAATTGATTCCCAAGCGAAATTATTATTTTATCGTCGATAAGTCCTTTGTCGAGGAGGATTCAGTATCCGGTAAGGCGGCATTACAGCGACAAGCGAAAAGACTGAAGGGACAATTTCTTCCCCTTCATAAGCTGCCTCTCGCGGGCCGCCAATCCCGTTTTTATTATGACTCGATCGTCCGTACCTTCCGTAAACCATGGGCGCTTCGCAATATGAGCGGCGTCGTTTCCTCGACAAATGCGGGAGATTCCCATGACGACGGCGACCGGAATGAAATCTTTATAGCTTATCGAACTGAGCGATATCCGGCTTCGATCGCCACGTCCTAAAGGGGAAGTTACTTGTAATCGATAGTCAATTCCCGATATTCCCAACCACGAAAAGCTCCTACGGGCGTTATGAACCGTTTTTTTAAGTTGTAACAAACTCGTCGATCGCAGGCATATATTTGCCAATTAAGGCCAATAATTTCAATAATCATCGAGGATATGCCTAGCGACTGTCGATCGCTGGAAACGTTAGGCCCCTTGATCGTCTAACGTGTCACCGGCAGTCAGCGGTGACCAGCACAAACGTGCCCAATAACCGTTAGATTATCCTCGTAGCAGTGATCGATACTGACAGCGTTATTGGGTACCTACTCCTCACTTTTCCGGACAGTGCTGTAATTGATGCGCTAGTCAATTAATATAACATGTACATGACTGCGCATTCTGATTAGACTCGAGATCCTAATCCCGCCTAGGTTTCGACTTGGCGGCTAATTTAGCTTCGATCTAATTCGCGTCGCCCTTTCCACCCGTGAAACCGTAGAAAGATTTGCATGAAAGACCGCTGGGGGTCGATCAGTCGGTCGTACGGCCAATTCGATTCCGAGGATGCTGCGTTATGACGGGGGGTTGAGCTGGTCCCGTTATTGCGTTTCTTAACTGCGGATATTCGAGATGCACGACGGCGGGCCATTGTCATGATACAGCGCGTACGGGCGACGCGATGCTCCGAATCCTTGAACATGTCCCGCGGTCACGTCTTACTTACTAGTTTGGCAATTTTATCCGCTCCTGGTCGCTGCGCTTCAGCTCGTCGCTGTGTGCGGAGTGAAACTACTCGTAATTGAGAACTTCGCGCAAGGAATAATACAGATGTACTTTAAAGTGGGTCTGAGATAATACAATTTATAACAGTTAATATAAACCTTATTTAAACAATTAATCAAATGCATGAGGCTCTGATGTGAAAACAAAAGGAATAAAGGAATAAGAGCCAAGACGGGGGACGTTAGTGTCTAAATAATTTTAATTTAAAGTCTATTGCGAAAAGTTACCTCGGCCAGGGTTTGAACGTGGATCTAAATCTTATTTCCTCGTTTATTAGAGAAAACTCTAAATTTGTCTTAAATTCGATAAATATTTTGTTAATTAGAGAAGGCGCCCATTTTGGGCTAGATCTAGGTAGTCTAATAACATCTTTCACGCGACTTTTGTATACAGTTTTTCCAACTCGATATTTTTGCGCATCGCTAATTAGGATATCTGAAAAATGATTGAAGACAATACATTGAAATTCGGTTGAGAAAGGCGCAGTGGGTCAATTATTATTGAAAGGAAAAACTATTTAACTTTGCCGCCGTACATGTCATTTTCAAAACTGTCTCAACAGTCAATCGTCATGAGGAAGAAGAGGCATTGAACTTTCCAATATATTTTTTTCAATATCACCGTAGCGATACATGTGGACTGTATATGTGATTGTTCCAGGACTTTCCTTGGGCGGCGGCTTGATCGTTCTGGCGTCAGCATTGTCGGACGCATCACTAGAACTACCAGGGAAATACAGTTTGCCGTCAACGGCCGGCATGCAAATGGACGATAACGGTCTACCTCAGTACCATTACGGCTGGTGCCTGCAGCTCTCGGGATTAGCGCTGATGCTGGCGGAAGTGGCGGCCGTTTTAACGATGTCCGGTTACATGGCGCGGTTCTCCACGGTTGAGGAGATGGTGAAGTTGTCGATTAAAACTCTCGCCGCGGATCGGCTCGCGCGGTTTTAGTTAGGAATCCACTTGGACCCCATTAGAGCCCCGCTAAACCGATGAAACAACATCCTCCCCCCGAGATCGCGCAAGTGGATTCCTAGCTTCATCGTCGTCTGTTTCGCAGTCGTGTCTCGTACGGTCAGGGGATATTCATGCGGTCTCTGCTTTCCTTTTTAGGTGAGGGTCATGGTCCCGGGAGCCGAGAGGAAGCTGAGGGAGCAGAGAGGGTTCAGCTCGGAGTATCTCGTGAGGGCGCATCAGAAATCACCGGGGCCGCCGCAGGCCCGACCCTTCGGTCAGCCAACCAAAAGTGGGTGAACTTATCGCTAAAGAGGGTGTCCCGCGTATGTGTGATGATGCGGCATACCCGTACATTTACGTAATTGCAAGGATCGAGGGATCCGTAGAGATCCTACGGTCGGAGGGTATGCCAGGATCTTGAAATCCGAGGAAAAAATCCGAATGATCTGTAAAAAAATTACAAAAATCTCCGAAGTGCTGCGGGACACCCTGTAAAATAATAAACGCCCTTTCTCATGCCCTGGAGGAAAGTAAGCCCGCACTTCTGTGTCCTAGCGCCTCAAAAAATAGTCGAAGAAGGAACTTCGTTGCTCTGCAAGTCGGCGCCCGATATCTGCGCGTCGAATCCACAGGCCATCAGTTACGTCGATAAGGCAGACCTGTCGCACGTCTTACCGGTCTACCCGGACGGCAAGAGCATCGACCCGCGGTACAACAACTTCGATAAGTCTGAGGGCAACGTTATAGATTCCCGACTGAGCGGCTTCACCGACAAAGAAGGCTTCATCGACACCCGGATTCTGTCCGACTCCAGGCAGAACATGATCGCCTTTACGGATAACAAGGAGCCCGACCAGGAGCAGCGGTACACCGAGTTCCCCGCGAGAAACACCGATCAGAATATCGTAGATTCCAGACTGAGCGGTTTCGTCGACAAGGAGGGCCTTCTCGATTCTAGGCTGAGCGGCTACGCCGATAAGAATGAATCTTTGCTAGATACCCCGTTCGGTTATGACACTAGATTCAACAGTCTGGCCGGACAGACCGTCCCGATTACGCTGAAGAACCAGAACGCCTCGGTATCGGCCATTCAGTCGCAGTACATTTATCAGAACTTTGGGACGATACACTCGGGCATTCTCAAAGTATCGGAGCCGGGCACCAGCTCCAGTTCCAATTCCAGTCAACGTAGCATGACCCTGCAGAATCCGAAGCGGAAGTCGCAGATCGCTCAGAATACTTTCAGCACGATGGAATGCGAGAAGAGAAAGCGAGCGTCCGGGCTAACCGGCAAGGCGGGCTTTTATACCGGCAGCGCTGTATGACCACCACCACCGCCTCCAACCCCGAGGTAACTCCCAGAAGAGGACACCCCACTGTAGCCGGAGCTCAGTACGACTTTCGAATTGGGTTGGAGGATATCACTGATCGCGCGCAAGGGGAGAGACAAAAAGAATGGGATTTTTTACCAGCTACAGATAACTCTGCCACATTTACTAACAATGCGCTTGCCGACATGCGGTACATAAACCAAACATGCGTTCTTATCGACTATCGGTGTTACAGGTTCCTACTATGGATCTTGAGAAGATATCATATGGACAATGCCAAAATCATACGATTATACCGTGATGATGCGTTAATTTAAAGCGATATCGAAATAGTTGGATTCATAGTAGAATCTTTAAAAGTACAATTCGTGCAAGAAAATAAATGCGAACGTAATTTTACATAACTGCCAATGACCTTGCGAACAATTTATTAAATTAATTAAATAACAGATGAAAATGATGAACGATTCAGATTACTCTCTCGTCATTTTATATAATGAAAAAGTAAGATAATGTCCGTCACTCGCTGTTAAGACTTTAACTTTAACATCGTAATCGCGTTTCAGCTGCATAACCAATTGAACAAAGCTGTAAGGTGAAATATTAATATAGTCAATATGTTGTAATATAATTGGTGGTTGATATACTCAAGATAAGTCGGGCGCAACTTTCGTACTTTCATTTAATATTAAGTGTACCGCGAAAATCCCGGTTAATCAAATCAAGTGTAATGGTTTGTGATTATGGATTTCTCCGATTTTTCTTTCAGTGATGTACACGCTCTAATTGTATCACTAATCGAGGACATATCAGAAATAAAAGCGTTTCCGTTGTTTATGCTACGATTACTCGAAAGTTTTTTATTTTTACCTCTAACTTTACTGGCTTTGAATTCCTTCTACAATTGGAATAGACAGCAGATGGTTTGTGCGCCCACATAAAAAAAGAATAATACATACATCAATATGCTGTACGTAGTTGAGTGTAATAAAATATTTCTTTTCTACTCACGTTGTTTTTCTCCCCTTTACTCTATTCACATACATCCCAGATAGCACAAAGTATCCAAAAAGAATTCTTTTTGAATTTTCGAATTATAAAATGAGTCATTTTCCATCGCACATTTCTGTGCTCAAAGCACTCTTATGAGTTCAATAAGAACTTACTTCTATCATCAATTCTGAATTCGTTTAGGGATGTAAATGGAATTTCTTAGAATTCGCACCGGAATTCTTTTGCAGTTCATTTTGAACAGATTATGTTAATTTAAAAAGAATTTATAAGAATAAAACTTTTTGAGTTTGTAACAATCACCTGTGTTATTTGGGATATATTAACTATTCGATGCGCAGGATAAGAAACAAACATTCATTAACATTGCCCTAGTAGCACAGTGCATTGGCTAAACATTGGCGTAAGACAACCAAATATTGGGGCAATGTTTAACCAATATTTGGTCAATGCACTGTGCTACTTATAGGGTGGTCTTCTTTTAATAAACACTATTTTTCAAAGAAAACAACAGAAGGAGCGGGACCAATTTTAATTGTTATTTTTCGAGAGCAACAAGTTAGAAACAATTTCTTATGCCGTTGTCATTTCCTTTCCGTTTACGTATATGTATATGTACAAGGTTTCACTAACTTGGCCTTCCTTTAGATTTTAGAATACCCTTTTTTAGAAAAAAGATTTTATGTTAAATCCCCTTTATAAGCTTTGTAAATCGTGTCAAAATTTAAGATAGAATTTTATTTATATAATAATTTTATGTGCCATATAAAGTAAAAAAATTGGAAAAATATCAATACATGCATGTATTAAAATAAATGGTATATGGGCATGGGTGGAAATCTATTTTTAGAAAGCTTTAAATACCTTTTTTTAAATATTTGTAAATTATAAATTCATGGATTTATAGTCGGAGAGCAAATTTAGAGAGAAAGAAAATCGACCGATGGTACTACGCAGGAAGCTTGATGTAAATGCAATTGCAATTTCGGTTCAAAGGTGGCACCGTTCTAACACAAAATTCTGTTTAACTCGAAGATAAACCGGATAGATGGCGAAATAGTGTTCACATTAACAACCGCTGCTTCTAATGTTTAATTAACGCCGCATAATTGGCCGGCCAATTAGCGCACGCCGTTTAATATTAATCTGCAATTTGAATTCATTTCAATGCGTTTAAAATTTATTGAATACATAATTAACGCGGCGTGTTGCGAATGCAGATGCGGGCGTATGATGAGAATCGCTCGGTTTATCGTAGCGCGATTTTGAGAAATCCAAAACGCAGAACGACGCCGGTCGCGTATCATCTGCAAAATCTGTGTCGCTCGTGTCGAATATGTTGCGATAACTTTGAACCACGAAGCAGCGTTAGCGAAGCCGGCGAGAAGCCGGCGATTTTTCAAACGCGGCATGAAATTTTCAATGGAAGCGAATTAAACCGCGATGGAAAAGTTAATTTCCTCATTTCCGGCGACGCTTCCCTTCCGGCGGCATCGGTGGAATCGGCTGGAAGAGGGAACACAGAGTCGCTCATCTCTGTCATTTACCTCGCTACCTCGCAAACCTACCTAACCCACCCCCCGCCCCACCCGGAAATATCCCGCCGACCCCTTCCCGCAATCTCGCACCCTCGAAACGAGCCACCTTCCCCTCGGCCGCTCTAGCCGTCTCGCTCTAATCCAATTAAAAACGTCGGATCGCGCGAAACAGCGGCGCATCGACCACGAGAATTTTAATTGATGTTACAGGTACGAGGGAGGGCGGCTACCCCCGGGGAAGGGATCGTTATTGCATGCTCGCGAGAAAGAGATGCATGCCAAGATTTTGTTCCATTATAACGCCACAACATTTATTGCCACAACTTATTTCATCTCATTTGCGTCTCATTTTACACAACGGTGTGGCGCAAAACATAGAAATAAAATTAAATAAAAATCTTTCCGCGTCGCGACGCGCCGTGTCGTGTCGGATACGCCGGAAAATGCAAAACGAAACAAAATAGATTGCTAATGAAGAAATCCGTTTCAAAAAATGTCGGCGAATTCGAGATTTAACTCGTTAAAATTTTTCCCCCCTATGCTCCGCGGAAGAAAAACTAGCTTTTAATATATTTTATATATTTAATAAACGATAGTAGATTTCGTATTTGGCGAAAAAGTCTGTCGCGCTGAAAATACAATGATGAAGTACAACGTATAATTATTAACATTTTGTTTCGCGCTCGCGGCGAAATGATATCACGAGGCGTTGAACGTCACCCGCGCGCCGAGGAAAATCTGCGATCGTTCTCGCAATTCTTTCTGGAGAATCGACCGGCGAAGAACGCCGGGCTTTTTGCGTGTCCGACACAAGCGCCAATCGGAATACTCCAAGTTCTTCCGCGCGAAAGTCACAGACGGGGGTGAAATCTAAGGGTGAATAACCCCCGAGGATAAAGCTCGGAAGATGGACTTGGAAAAAATCGGACTCCGTTCCGCAAATGGAGACGTTTTCACGCCATTCTCTCGACCGTTCTCGTGGGAAGGCGCGGACCTTATTTTTTTCTCCACCCTTGTCCCGTTTTGACCCGTAACACCCCGTCGCTGCTCTCCCTGTCCGGCCTCGGCGGTTTATCACGTCCGTGAAAGCTCGTAAGCCCGTCGCGTCCGGGGAAAGTTTGGCTCCCTCCTTCGAGTTGGGGAAAAGTTTACCCGAAATCCAAGAATTGTCAAATAAATTTCATTAACTTGCGCTTTGTATCGAAGCGTCGGCTCACCCGCGACGAGATGCCGCAGAAACGAAAATCGCGGACAAGAATAAATTATACGCTAAATAAAAACAGAGAAGAGCCCAGGGGGGAGGAAGAGAGAAAATGGCGGGCCAGACAGCCCGCGGGCGGCCAGGACTCGCTGCCAAATGAAATTATCCTTTGGAAGCAGAGGCGATCTCGAGGGTTAATTTCGCGAGACAGGGTTGTCTCGCCTCCTGCCGTCCCCGCCTGCTGCATCGGTATCACTACGACCGGCCTCCGGCTGACCATAATTTAATACATAATATGCCCCCTCCGACTCCTGATAAGAGTGAATTTCACGTCGACTCGGGAGCATACGCAGATTGCCAGAGTTTATAAATATCAGCTGATAACAATAATTTACTATTTTTGGCAGTACGGCTTATTAACATTTAAAAAGTACAGCGATGGACAGAATGGCTGCGACACTTTTTTTTTTAATGAGTTTAGAAACGTGCACTTAGATTCAGGTTTTTGTTTCGAAATATATTCTCTGAGAAAAATTTTACTCGAGAAATAGATCGAAAACGCTTGAAATGGTTTCAAAATGGCCATCCAGTAAAATATTCCTCGGAGAAGAAGATTTTGGAACGTAATCCTGAATTTGAATACACGTTCCTGAACTCGCTAAAAAAAAGTTCTCGTTCTACGTATCTCTACGTTCTCGAAGGAACACTTTATTTGAGAAATAGATTGAAGGCATTCAAAATGGTTTCGGAATTGAGTAAAATATTCCTCGGAGAAGAAGATTTTGGAATATAACCTGAAAACAATATCGCAACCATTCTGTCCATTACTGTACGTTTTCTTTAATGAGTTTAGAAACGCGCATGTAAATTCAGGTTTACGTTCCAAGACATTTTGTCAAAGAAAACTGTTACTTGAGAAATAGATTGAAAAAAAAATCGCAACCATTAAATTCTATCACTGTACACGGAGCGCCGTGAAGTTTGCAATTTTCTTTATTTATAAGATTCTTCGATTTTTAAGCGCTACAAGTGCCATAATAATTACGAAGATGACAAAAAATGATATTAATCGTAATAAACTAAGAACAGTATCAACAATGTGAGAAAGAGTTTATACCGGCAGGAGCGATTTAATCTTCAGCCCATTTGTTACAACCGAATGCAATGATTGGCTGATTCTATCTCCCGGTCTCTTTTTCGTCAATCTTTTGTTACCTTGTTTAATAACTCGTGATGAATGTACCTCGCCTCCACTTTGTTTCACGTTCTCCAAGGAAAAGAATCCCCCGGGTACCCCCGCGCGATATCTTTATTCTTTCTTCCCGCTTCAATCCCGTCAGAAATTAAAACGATAAATCCGGCGTAGCCGCCGGCTGAAATATACGACGCCGACGTCGCCGAATGAATTACGACATTGTCGCGACGATGACAAAATTCGATGGTAGGAATTATTGTTTCAATGGACGGAGCTTTTCGAAAAATTATTACGAATTTATTCAAATTTAAATTCTTCCCTGGAAAGCTTGAGCAACAAGTCCGAGGGACAAGTGTGAAGGAAGTTCTAAAGATTGCAGGAAACTAAATAAGTAAATTGAGGATCCGAGGATCCAGAGAACGTGGAGAGCCAAAGAATCTGAACTTCCTCGATTTAAAAAATTACCAGCTATAGAAGAGCTAGAAGATCCGGAGATTTTGAAGAAAAAATATGCAAGAATTTGCCGATTCAAAATTGCAGTATAAGCAGAAAATCTAAAATCCTCAGATCTCTACGAACCCGACGAATGTTTAATAACTTAACAAAAATGAGACGTTATTAAACCGGACCATCGTCGATGCAATTAAAACGTTCAGTTTACTGCCGAAGCCTATTAATTTCAACGTGAACTCGAGAGAAAATTGTGATTGTCCCTCTTCACCCTCTCTCGCGCCTCGAACTCTAAATCTCGGAACGGTGATCCATCCATCTCGTTCCTCTCGCAAAAATACGCGTCGGGATCGGGGTTGCCGTGGTGCAATTGGCACTTTAATCTGTATTCAATGACCGACGCGCAGTACGGAGCGAACTTTTTACGGGGGGATTTGGCGCGGCGCGC